AGCTGCACCAACTGTATTGTGAGGAGATTGCCGGCAAAACAATTAAATTAAGTAAGTTTTATGAATTAAGGCTTACATACATTCTTACGTGCAAAGACACCACTTGAAACATGTTGCCATGTTTATCACAGTAATTTTACTTATTTGTGTGCTGCTTTGGCAAGTAAAATACCTTTTCCATTGTATTACAATAAATGGTTAGAAAATTATATATTGTGCAAGCCCCTTACGTACAAATGCTGGATTATGAAATGTTCATTATGTAGTGATAGCAAATTATTAAGAGACTTGGATACATTAATTACCTATAGTTGGTGGATAAAAGAAGATCATCGCTGTGTACTCAGTCAACATAGAAAAAACATAAAAGATGTTTTTAAACATTTCTGTGACTATTTACGAGAGTTTACCAAGCATCATCTCACTAAAAAGCACCAGTCTGAGCAATACCACAGTCAAAAATAAAATCACGAACCAGACCAAATTTTGGTATACTTCAATTATTCATGAAACTATACATGTGGTTATCAGGATGCTGTTCAAGCTACTTATTGGTCGCAGTAATCTACCATTACCAATGTAATCTACCATTACCAATTAGAGCCAAAATCAGTTGTACTAATATCCGACAATAACAATAAAACAAAACGCCCCACTACTACATACTTAAGTAAAATATTTTACCTCTATTGCATAGATTATACAAAAAAAAGTTATATTATGGAGTGATGGTCCTTGCACTCAATTTAAAAATAGATATATGGCCAAATTTATACAACATTGCACTATCAAATATCATTTTCAGAGTATAGAATGGAACTTGTTTGCTACCTCTCACGGTAAAGGAACAATTGATGGAGTAAGAGGATCCTTGAAGCATTATGTTTGGAATAGCGTAAAATCTCTGGAACTTGTCGTCTTAAACGCTAAAGGCTTCCTCTTAGCATCAAATGGGTGCAAAACTTATGTTAGGCTTATCAACACTGATGATATTAATCTGAAATGGGCCTTAATAGCCAACGAAATAGAAGAAGCAAAAGCCATTAAAAATATTACCAAAATGCATTTCTGGCAAATAAAAAACAAAAAATATTTAGTTTTAAAATTTTCTAATATTTTTTAATGTGTTTTTTTAAAACAAATATACTTAGTTAAAGAAATTTACTTGTCTAATATAATTATTTATTTAAACTATGTTTCAAGCAAGAGAATAAATGGGCATTAAGCATTTTTTGCTTAATCCAAATAAAAGTAATATGATCATACCCAGTCATCATTGTCATACCCAATCATCGTCATACCCGGATCATTTTACCCAGTATAAATGTAATATGATCCCAGTGATAATGTTATAAAGTGCATATTTTAACATAACTTACTTGGTTTTTATAATCACTTATCTTTTTTCGCCATTCATTGCGCCATGCAATGAATTCAATAAATGCGCCATGCATTCAGTTGTTTTTCATTATTGGCATTTTTGTTATGACCGTCACAACAAAAAACATAATAAAATTCTTGTAAAACATCAAGCAAAACTATGAAACTTGGCATATAGCAAGATTAATATGTAGTTAATGCACACAGCAAAGGATTTTTTTTTTCACCGCGTAGATGACTGCATAAAGATTGTCAAAGTCGATTTGTTTAGAATTATCAAAAAGTAAGCGTTACGACCGTCACACTACGTTGAGACAATTTTTCCAATAAGTTGGAGATTTTATAATAGTATTTAACATTTCTGAAAAATTTCAAATCAATATCATTCTTATTTGACTTTTAATAGCTAAAAGAGTCTCAAATGTTACGACCATCACTTGCGTGGAATTGCCCATATGTATATATAAATATATATATATATATATATATATATATATATATATATATATATATATATATATATATATAAATATATATATAAATATATATATATATATATAAATATATGTATATATAAATATATATATATAAATATATATATATATATATATATATAAATATATATATATATATATATATACACACACACACACACACACACAGACACAGACACACACACGCATATATGTGTGTATATAATCAAACTTTAAAATACTTATAAAAAACTTCTCATGTTTGAACCTGTGTTTCATAAAAAGTATTCCCAAACTTTTAAAACTAGGGTTTTTCAAAATTATTCATTTAAATTAGAACTATAAACAATTAAAAAAAACTAAATCAAATCTAATCTAATTAAATAAAAACTTCTTTTATGAATGTAACTCGTTATTTTTAAATTGATTTTACTATAATATTTCAAGGGAGTATAGATAGCCTTGTTCCACGTATAATATAAATATAATCACATCACCTGACTGGATTGATCAAGAATGCCAAGATAAACAAATGCTTATCTTAGTATTTGTGATCAATCACCAGCCTTGCAGTTCTGAGAGTAGAATGCTAAAAAGTTTTAGTATGCTTAGGAAAAACATAAACTATTTTTATTTTAAATTTCAACCTAAGATTATATAAATAATTGGTTAAGATAACTCTTATTAATGAATAATTGTATTTAAAAAAAAAAAAAATTCCTACTATTATACTTGTTATTCGTTATGAATAAATCAAAACCTGATAATTATTATTCAAATATATCTTAAAGTTAAATGATCATAATTTAAATGTTCATTTATTTAATGATTATTAAATATTTTTTATTAATCCAGCTTTATCTCACATTAAGCAATAGAAGTGTACCTGTAGAATAGAGCTCACTCCTGACACCATATCAAATGAATCCATTTTATTTTATCCATAATAACTATCCCAACATTGAAAAGGTTGTTTTTTGCATTATTTCAAATTAAATTTATGGTTTTAATTAAATAATTAAAATTTAAAAAGCATGCGATGAAGAAACTTTTCAAATGGTTTTTAAAGACTTTTCAGTTCATTTTCTGAAATTCCATCAACAGTAAAATTGACTAATATATTAAAATATAACTAGCATATTTTCTTATTTTAGAATTCAAATTAGCTAACAAGTTAGAAAATTTATTCAACTAACCAGCCACAAAAATACCACCTTTAACTTGTTAGCCAGTTATGAAATTATTTTAGCCAGCTATAAAAGCATCTTTTAAGCAGTAGCAGAATTATTTTTCAACAAAGTACAGCGTGACCAAGGTTTGCAAAATCAGTTAAAAGTAAATATTTTGTTAGGTTATTATCCTAATATATAAAAGCAGAACAAAATATTTTCTATTTTCATATTTATGGCGTTCATATAGCAAATTTAAAAAACATAGTTGCAAGGACAATCAGTTTAATTTTAGTGAACACGTTGAAAGCAGAAACTAGTTAAATACCCTAGACATGGTGCTTGTTCTTTATCTTTTTTGATATAATTTTATGAAGAGCAGTTAACTCCACTCAAAAAATGCTTAATTTCAATATGAATTTTCTGAGTGATAAAGTGTGTACACGAAATAAATGTGAAAGTAGAAAAACAACTAAAAAAAAGTACTCTTCAATTTTTATTGCCAACCAAGTAATAACTTAATACAATAATATAAGAAAATCAAATATATATATAAAAAAATCAAATTATTCCTGTGGGAATCTAATAAAATTTAGAACTTTTACTTTGGTGGTACCCGTAAGCTTGTGCAATAAGAATTGAAGCCATTGCCAGATCAAGGGGGGCTAGGGGGGACTATAGCCCCAAGCCTAGCAAATTTAGGGGCCCCAAAAAACGAAAATAGCCCCGGGCCTTAAAAAGTCTTAATATGCCACTGATTGAAGCCATTTGATGCTTTTTTAAATGATAGTTTAATATCTTTAATATTTCTGCAAAGTTTTTTTGTTTTTAATTTTTCTTTTAATAATGGTCCAGTATTTTTCAATAACTCTTAATTCTGGGTAGTTAAGAGGATTTTCTGTTTTAGGCACAAATTTCACATTATTATTTTTATACCATTCCAAAGCTAGTTTACGATAATAAATTGAAGGATCTGGCAATGTTTACAATAATAAATTGAAGAATCTGGCAAGAACACAGGTTTCCATGTGATTTAATGAGAGGTAACTTGTCATACAACTTTCTGCAGTGGGTTTTTTCACTTTTTTGTTGAGTTTCAGATTGGTTGGGCACTTTTTGTGCTTTGAAAGAATGAAAACCATGTTAATTTTAAACTTTTACAACAAAACTATGAGAAAGTCCATAAATGTTTGTGCACTCCCTTGTGAAAGGCGTTAGTTAGTTTTAAAACTGTTAACCTGTTTTCTAACTAGTTTTCTATCTTTAAAACCCCTTCTTTCTTCCAATAGATATACGTTGGATCGATTTTGTTTGAGAAAAATGTTGGATTACATGACTAACAGTGTATGGATGCATTTGCAATCCTTTTACTATCAAATTGTAGCTACTATTGGGATTTTCCAAATATTTGTGCATAATTTTTTCTTCAATGTCTTCTTCTTTTGTCATTTTCAAAACTAATTTTAAGTTAAATCAAAAAACTAATACATTTTTTTGACACCACAACACGTTGTAAACAAAATACAAAACAATTAAAAAGATCTTAATATAACCACTGAAAAAAAAAAAGACGCACTTATTCATTCACATTTATTTCTTGTACACGCTTTATCAAAATTTGCATCAACATTTTTATGTCTTTTGTATGAATCTCTAACAAAATACAATCTCTTCATTTTTTCAATTAATTATAGGTAATTAATATGCTATATAACCCATATTGTAGTAAATTTTGTTTAACTTTATACTTGATAAAAACCAAAATATTTAAGATAAAACAATTTTAAAAAATTTTAAAATTAAAGTAAAAGAGTTGTAAATATCGATTTGGATATTTACTTCAGACTTGCTGCATGCTATTTTTAGGTATCTTTGAATTGTAATATTATTTTTCAAAAACACGGATTTTAGCAACTATAATCTCCTTTAAACTTTTTTGTTTAAAATTAAATTTATTAGATCTTAGTACATTACTTACATCAAAGTCTTTAAAAAACTGATCTTTAACACTTATCTCCTCTGCCATTTTTTTACTAACTTCTTGTAATTGAGATGATGCATACTTTGATGCCAAGTTAGATTCGTTTAATTTATATGTTAAATCAGCATTATCCAAAGTTATTGACCAGGAATAGTATACAGTAGCCCCCAAAACTACTGCAGGTACAATATAGTAAATTAAACTACCAAAACCCATTATATAAACAATAATAATAAAAATGTTATATTACTACTTTAAAAAATGACACAACAAGTACTGACGCAGAGTTAACGCACTTTGATTGCGACCTCTGTTAAACCTTGTTTCTATATAAAATGGTATTAAATTATTCTTATTCTTTTTGAATTTTCTTATTACAAATGCCACTTTATTGAATAAAGTTATTATTTTTGAAACACAACAACAAATAACTCCATATGCATTTTTTGTTAGGTATTTTAGAAGAACTATTGATTTTTTATACTGTTTGAAAATAAAATGGTAAATTAAAAATGTACAGGTGGGTAAAAACCATGTAATATATATAACACCCTTATTTAATGCTGACGCGCTTAATTCAAAACTTGCTTCATACGATTAATTAAAAAAAACACCCGCATTATGGAATTTTAAAAAAAAAATCAATTTTTCAAATATTGATATTTTTAGTTCATAGAACATATTTATGATCTTTTTTAAAAATAAAATAAGTAAATAAGTATGTAAAATAAGTATGTACATTGGCCATTATATGATTTTAAGGTTCATAGCAACGCCATAGCAACGCATTTTTTAACTAGTAAATTTTAACTTATTGAAGCTTCTAAACAACAATATCTTATATATACTTCAGCTTCTTTTTTATTATGTGCTTTACGTTTAGTAAATGTTTTTAATGTAACGATTTTTTACTTTGTTTTTAGTATTTTTCTAAAAACGTCATTTTAAGCAAATTTGGAATTTTAAAACATAATATTTTCAGATTGCGACCATATGTTAATTTGAAGTTTTCAGGGTGCTTTTTTTTATTGTTTAACTTAGGCAATGAACTAGAATTACAAATAAATTTGGTGTAAAAGGATATTTAATATCTTTTTTTCTTGCCTTTTTTTAAAAACAATTTTATAAATCTATTAAAAATTAATTCTATACCTACTTTTGCGTTATTTTTATGGAATAAGTGAGGCAAAAGTTACGAAATCAAGATTTCATATTTAGAAAAATAATAGCATACTTCACAGTGGGCCAGAAATCACCTTTACAGGACAAAACTAATAATTCGTCAAATAAAAAAGATTTAAAAACCACTTTTGCACTGTTTACTAATTTGAGAATTGCGGTTTTAATGGTGACATTACTTTTAACTTTGGGTTGCTATGTATACCTAAATTGCTTAGCAACCACATTTTTTATTACCTTAAGAAATCTAAAGTAGAAAAAGTAATAACTTTATTGGATTTCTCCCATAATTACCACATTGAGTATTTTGATACTACAAATGTAGTGGTCCTATTGATTTTTTATTTGGTTGATAGTGACACCTAAAATGACTGACACTTCATTTTTCATAGTTACCAATTACTAATTTTAAGAATTTTTATGCAGTTTCACAGCTCTATTTTATAATTCATGAAATTACTACATAATCCATATAAAAAGAAACCCTGAGTTTTAATCTTTTTGTGTTTATAAAATATTAGGATTAGCTAACTTCAGGCTTTTTTGTATTATATATGAATAAATATCAATACTTTTCATGTTTTAACTAGGGGAAGTGAGGGTATAACGCATATGGGGGCACAACCATTTTTTAACATTTCTCTTTGAAAAATGTTATCTTATATGGCAAAAAAAAAATACCACGCATTAGTAAAACAGTTTCCTTCATTTTGCTTATGTCAAAAAGAGTGTCTGTTATGTTTCTGAGAAGTTGTGCATAATAATGTTTGTTTTGATAAAAATATTATATTTACATCATATTTTGAAAGACCTTTTTTTTGAGGATTAAGCAATGTTTGATTTTAGTGTTAAAGATATGTGTTACAGCATTATTTCATCAAGTGAAAACCGTTTTTGATATCAACATAATCTAATAAGCAAGCTATGAAACTGCATTCTTTCTAAAAACTGTCCTGTGGGGCAGAACTGCATAGACGCACATGTGGCACAACAGCATACTTTTAATATTTATCAAAGTTAAGTAATTACGAATAACAACAATAACAATCGTCACACTTAAATGCGTTTATGTAAAAACTTGAATAGTTTTGCGTTGAGATGTTAGAAAAGGTTAGCCCTAGATATCCATACACATTGTCAGGATTGTCAATATTTTAAGATTTATTTTGCTCTATTGTAGAAAATTTTGTTTGTCAAAGATACAAAATATGTTTAGATACGTAAAATAATAATCTCATGGATAAAATGAAAAAATTACAGAAAATTCAGGGAATTTAAATGGCTCACAACTCACACAAGGGAAAACATTCACTTGTGCAAAATTATTAGAAATTATAGCAGCAAGCCTGTATTGACTTTAAATGCTTTTGTTATGTGCCTAATTAAATATATACTTAGCAAAATTGTTTTTTTAAAGTTTATTTGCATGTTAGTCAAATATACATGTATGTATTTTGCTGTAAAAATTACTTAATCTACTCTAGCTATATATATATAAAAATCTGCTTTTTCAGAAGTTTTACTGAAAAATCACAAAGTGTTTTTCAAGGATAAGGATGTCTCTTACACAGTAGTACTATTCATTGTTTCATCAAATAGTACTCTCGACTGTCAACATGGCAAGAACAAAAATATCAAAGCTAAAGCTCTGTATAAAGTTAAAAAAACTAAGAAGCAGTAAGTTATTTTTTCAGATCTGGTAAAAAACTGGTTATCTCTTAAGTTTATTTATTATTTATTTTCTGTTTTTTTTTGCTATTATTAAACCATAATGTTTTCATAATGTTATCAATTTTTTGTGCAATAATTTTCTCATGTTTCACTATTTATGTTCAGAGCTTAGATCATTCCTGCAAAAAAAAAAGAATGACTCTCCAGGTTACCAAAAAATTTGATTGTCCTGCCAAATTTTATATCAAAGAAATAATTGAAATTTCCGTATATAAGGTTTTAATGTGCAGAAAATTTATATTGGTAATTCCTGCGATTTCTGCTCATCAAAACCACCTTATTAGTGACGTAAGAATGCTAATAAAGTGACTCTACGTTTGCATTTTGTTATTGCTAATGTTTATTGTTAGTATTTTCTACTTTTTTCTAATTATTAGGAAGCAGGTCTTAATCAATCTTTATGCGAAGAACTTATTATTAAAATTAGTGAGTTGGTCAAAAAGGGTGTCAATTCTGTTTCTGAAATGAGACGTCATCTAGCTGCCTTTATTCAGATGGAATTTAATTCTAATAACAATCTTCAGAAGACAAACAAACGTTTTTTCCCAAGGGATGATACAATTGCAAATCATATATTGAGAGCTAGGCGAAAGCTTCGAAGATCACTTATAGATCAAGAATGTCTTTTGGACAAGATTAATGATTAAAAAATATTATTTCCAGATGCAACGATCAAATTGATGTAGATCTTAAAAATTCATTGTTGTTTGTATATCAAGATGTATGGCAAAAGAGACTACTGCTACGATATGGTAACAAGCTTGCCTTTCTTGATGCTACATACCGAACAACAAGATATGTAATGCCTCTCTTTTTCCTTGTTGTTAAAACTAACATTGATTACCAAGTTGTGGCTATTTTTGTGTGTGAGTATGAGACCACTGAAGCTATAACAGAAGCACTTATGTGCAAAGAATGGAATCCTTCATTCGAGCTAAAGTCCTTTTGTACTGATTATTCAAATGAAGAAATAAATTCACTTGAATCTGTGTTTCCAGGTTATAATTGTAATTGTTAGTTACCTTACTTAAAAAAACAAACAGGTGTATTTCTTGCTTACAAGTTTACTTGTAAGCAAGACATACACCTGTTCATATGTCTTGCTTACAAGTTTACTTGTAAGCAAGACATATGAAAAGCATGTTTCAAGCCTGTTTCTTGCCTAAAAGCAAATTTGTAAGCAAGAAAAATAAAGTCTATTATAATACACAAATATAGATTTAATGCATGAATACAAATTTTACTTTGTATTTCAGAAAACATTAAATGGTTTTCATTCATTTAAAACCTTCAGCATTTTATCTTTTTTTAAAAATTGGAGTCTTTATAAGCTTATAAGCGTTATAGCCTTGCAAAAATATATACAGTGGTAGGCCGTAAAGTGTTTATTTGTAATTTTCATCGCGAACAAGCGTGGGAACAATAAAGGATGACATTAAAGTTAGGCTTTGTGACATTGCACATGCAAAAACAATAGAGGGTTGTCAAAACGCAGTTGAGAATTTAGAGAAATCACTAGAATGGCAAAATAACCCAAAACTTGTAGAATATTTGAAAAGCACTTGCAGGGTTGCCACTTAACCTGGAAAACCTGGAATATCTGGAAATAGCGTGAATCCCAGGGAAAACCTGAAAAAACTCAGGGATTTTTTAAAATTTTCATAAAACTCAGGGAAAATAATTTTTTTTTTTTTAATTTTGTACAATAATTTTTTTTTCAAAAATATTTTGCTAATACATATAATAATAATTTTTCAAGATATGGGTGTTGTTGTAAAAGTTTTAGTTTGTTAAATATAAAGATTGTGTTTAATTAAGGAAAATAATAATCTTGTTGATGAACAGGAAAGAATATAGAAAAGTCAGGGAAAAGTTAGGGAAAACTCAGGGAACTTAAAGAGTTCAACTCAGGGAAAAACGTTTTTTACTCAGGGAAAACTCAGTGAAAACTCAGGGAAAAACTTTAAAAAGTTATAGTGGCAACCCTGACTTGGTTATGTATTCAAAAGATTGTTTCTAAATAACAAAAAAAAAAAAAAGTTTATATTAAAAAAAGTTGATGTAACGTTGTTATTGAAAAAATTTTTCTATTGTAATTTTTGGGTATTACCTTAACTTTATTTTTTTAATTATATTACTGAAGTGTTTTTAAACATTCTTACGATTTCAGAGATGGGTATTTGCTTATAGACTAGATCGAATTCTGCTGAATGACAACACCAATAATGGAATTGAAAGGCAGAATCAATCTTTCAAATACAGTTTTTCGGAAAAAAGAAAGAATTTTTCACTGACAGCTATGCTCAGTATGTGTATAGAAGAATTTCTTCCGCATAAATATGACAAGTTAGTTGATACATTAACTACTTTTTGTTTTTTCAGTACAAATAACGTTT